AGAGAAAGAGATAAGGATACCTTGTGCTACTTCACTCCCAGAGCAGATGGGAGCCACACTCCACAGTGTCTGCTGGAAGGCTGCATCGACATGGAGACTGCCATTACCATAGGACAGGTGCTGCAGGAAACAGACGTGAGTCATGTTTGAACTATTTACTGATGCACCACACTGAAATATATACAGACAGTGTTTCCAAATCAGAAACACCGGTTAGACAGTAGGAAAAGCAAATCAGTCCTGATGCATGAGATTATGTGATTATTCAGATACTTTCACAGTACAGGATTACACAAATCTACGGAAAGAACTAAAGACTGTAATTTTTATTATTACGCAAAACTTAATTTATTGACATCTATGGTTTGATTTCTCTTGGCATGTACAGATTGGATGGGATGTGACTGACTTCTGCTGAGAATTTCTGTCAGCAGCACTTTTAGAAATATATTTTTTTTAGAAAATAGGTGACGTCTTCAATATTTATTTTGCCTGCTGTAAATATAATTTGTAAATCCTACTAGTACTAGGACACGTCTCGCCACATGAAGAAAGAAAACAAGCAACATCAAGATCTGAGTTCGTCTTTGCTGGCATGTTCCCACACACAGCTGCTACTGACCAGATATCTTTCAGAGGAGACGCTGACCAGGATGAGATCATCTCCCACTCTAACCTTTTCTCCCTCTGAGCGCTGCTTTGATGCTGGATGGATGGTCCACCAGCATGCCTCGCCTACACACACACACACATCATCATCATCATCATCATCATCAGTATTACAGGAGATAAAGCAGCGATGTGTCCATGAAAAACAAACTTGTGTCCATTTCCTTGCTGGGTGTGCACCACTTTGGTTCAACCCTGTGTTGTAGTTTCCATCACTTTTAAAAAGAGAGCTCAACAATAAGGCAGACAGTAGACCTCGGTGTGCTGCATTATGTTTCTCCACAGTAGCTTTCATTTATCAGCAGTCAGACTCTATAATAACACCGAGTTTCATTCCAGTAATGATGTCAAGAAAATAAAAGCAAACAGCAGCATGACACACAAAACTTGTTCTCTAATACAGCTATTCACCCGGGGGGAGGGTGTGGGGGGTGTATATGACATATAACATATAACAACTTTATTTTGTTGAAGCTAGTTGATGTTTACACTCTGTGTAACACTCCTTTATCCAAAACTTTTTGGATTATATGCAATCGTGTGAGCAGTCAAATGTTTTCACTCGGGCCAGGCTGGATATTTTACAGCGTTACACAACAAGGACTATCTGAAGTGTTTTTATTTATTATTGTTTTAGCTTTTAAATGAGACACGCTCATTTCTGCTGCTGTCACAGCTTTGCCTTAAGTTTGAAATAGTTCAAAGTTAGGAACCGGTTTAGCGGTGGTGCAGATTTTTGTACAAATATAAATACCTGTGGTATCCTCCTGCAGCCCCACGTCAAAAGCCAGTTTGTCTGTGGACGAACGCGAGGTGGACAGGCAGCACAGGTACTAAACAGAGAAACACAAATAAATAAAATGATTTTATCAATCAAATTATGAAGAAACAGTACATTTACTGAACCGCTAGAACTGTGTGAACATTTAAACACTGTGCCTCAGCAGAGGGATGAATGAAAGGCTTTTCTTTTTCTTATTCGCAACAATGTTACAACTTTCATGATAAAAGGATCTTTTTGCAGGATGTTTTTGG